GGAGGGGAGTGAGCGAGCGGCTTTGTGGTGCTCAGTTGCCGACTGAGGTTAAAGAACAACACTAAGCCTCACAGAGTCATGGCCCATTCCCTCACCACATTTTCAGCCCCACATCCAGATGCAACCAGTCAGCCTCATCTGCCATCATCAGTTGCCATGTCTAGAGTGTAGAGTCACAGAGAGGTAACAAGGCTGTTGCACAGCTCTGCTGCTAGCTGGATGCAGGCTGGTGAGGATCCAAAGGAGCCTGTCTAAAAGGATCCTTAGCTTCAACCTAGCATCACAAGGTCTTCCTCACCACATGACCTGCCACACGAGACTGCTCTCAAATCACACACTACAAAGCATCTTAAATGCTGGGAAAATGTAATATCAGCATCTCTGTGACAGTAGAGCATTTCCTCCTCCAGCAAATGATCCTCAAAGATTAAACTCTGCCTACAAATCTGTGTAAGTGAGAAATCAACTCTCCTCCCTCCCAGCTCTAGGCCTGAGTGCTCTGTTTAGATCAGACTTCACCATAGAGCAGAACACAGGTGTTTTCAAGTCCAGAATTTGCACAGGGCTGGTCCTGTGGCAAAGACATTCAAGGGAGAGGCACCCACTCACAAGGTGCTATCCAGCAGAAGGACAAAGACCTCTGCAACCACATCAGAACTTCCCATGGTGTGTTGAAGCTCTGTCCTTTGGAAGCAGTCAAAGGGAAATCACAGCCCAATTAAGAGAGAAGGTAGAATTTGTGTCATGCAGGAGGTACTGCTTCACAGACTGCACAAGAATGCAAACTGCAGTTTGATTTGCCTCCCATCTGAGAGCTGGAGGTAAATACCCAAGGTCCTTAGGTTCCAGGTTCTGAAGTCACCAGAGTCCAGCACCAGGAGTTCTGAATGCCATTCCCAAAGCTGAAGTTTCAGCTTATTCTCGGGTTTTGGTCCAGTCAAATTTCTTTTTCACATTTGCTATGCATTCTGCCTCCCGGGCCAACACAGGCACGGTAGCACAAAGGAACTCAACTGATGCACTAGAAGCTACTCTCAGGAAACCTACGGTCAAACCAGATATGCTGACTACCATGTCACATGGTTATTCTCCCAGGTTCCCAAATATGGCAAATATGAGAACATGTGAGCGAGTTAGTGAAGTGTTTTGAGAAAAGTTTAAAGGGAAGCTACAAAAATCTTTGAGGTTCCTCTACCATCTCTAATGCAGCTCCTTGTACTGAAATGACTTCTTTCAGGTAGTCAGTAACGTGCAATAATAGGGCAGTGCTTGTGTCGTGATGAAGATCTGCTCAATCTATGGCTAAATAAGGTAGTTTGCCTTCCCAGTTTACCTCTTCTCCTTATGTCACCCCCACCCTATCTTCCTCACCCCAACATGACATACCCAGCATACAAGAATGAAAGGAGTTTATCCAACAAACACAGCTTGCCACTGGCTTCAACAATATGGTCTCCAATCTCAAAGGGTTCTGGCTCAACGCCTGGAACAGAAAGGAGTTTCAGAAGCAGACCTAATACTATGCAAGTAACAACTCAATGGTCAACCTCAGTGTGTCTGCACTGTCAACTATTGCCGAGCAGACCCCCATGATGGTCCTTCTCTGTCTCTAAAGTACACCCTCAATAGTTCACAAAGCATTGTGATGTCGTTGTTTAGGTGAAAGTAGATGCATTGATGAGAAAACAAGCAGAGTGCTGCAGCAAGAAACTCAGACTTCACACAGTACCCTACTTTATTCCTCATTATTAATAAACTGTCATATGTTGGAACTGGTCACACACTCACAGCTGGTTCTGATTCAAGTACAACATTGTTTATTACTTGCTTCTTCTAAGCATTATACTGCCAAGCAATAATAGAAAACCATTGTGTAAATCAGGAAACTTATTTCTATCTCAACAGAGAGGAATGCTTTCTTACCATTGAAAAGGTACGGGTGGGCAACACACTTCCGAAGCTGAATTAAGACATTCTGAAGTGTAACCTTCCTTCCAGTTTCACTTTCAAATGCATCTGGAACAAAGAGCACAGAAAAGGAACTGAGCAGGAAAGCCCATGCTCCATCAATGGGTGTGACTGGGAATGTCTGGGCACCGAGCGCTGCTCTGCAGTGCTTCAGCACTAGAGTGTCTCTCTCCACATATCACATCTGCATTTGAGTTTCCAGCTCAAGACTAATACATCTGTTTTCATGGACCAAACAAAATTTCCCTCACATTTTTCAGACAAGCCTTTAGAAAAAGACCCTGATGAAAACTACTCTGCCTTGTCAAACTCCCTGGAACTTTCTGGACTCCCTGGAAAGGGTCACTGTCATTTGTCTAAGAGGGAATTATAGATCTAGAAATCTTCAAAAAACACGAAAGAAATTTGGTGCAGTTCATCTGAATTTTCCAACAAAAAAAGTAATACAGCAGAGTCAAGATCTACTGGGCAACCAGGAAGTTAAGAAGGGTTGCATTTTTGTGACGAGAAAAAGAAGATATATGCACATATGCTGACTTTAGAAGAAAAAGGTTCAGCCTGCCTGGTGATGTGCATGCGAAGTGCCACTGGCTCCTTGATGCACCAGGCATTAGCCCTAGAAGAACAAAGCATCTCCATCCCCACAGTTTTACTTCTCCTACAACACATAAATGCCAGCAAGCCATATGATGTGGTACGCATAGATGGAAGAGGAAGAACTCAGAGAGAAGCAAATACTTTCTCTCTCATACTTCAGGATGCTTTGTTACAGTTAGTTCATATGTGAAGTGACAAGGAGTGAGCTATTATGGTAAGAGTCTGTGGCTGCATTGTCTATATGGCCCTGTGGTTTCCTAAGAAACTCATATCTACATCCAGTACGTTTGAAATTGCTGTATGGCATCTGTACTACTATTGGAAAATTTGTTGAGATCCACAGATCCAAAATTTCCTGTACCACCCTTTTGTCTGAACACAAAAACATGGGACAGGAGCAGGCTTACCTGGTGATAAGTGTTTTTAGTTACAGGATGGCCCAAAGCAGAATCCTGAAGCTGACCCTCCCCAGCTCTGCAAAAGCTCAGCTCTAGATTCACATCTCTTATTTTATTACAAGCTAAAACCAAAAATCAAGCAGCCCAAAGCACTGAATTTGACATGTTCATTCTATGCATATTCTGCAGGCCAAAGTGTCTTCTCCTTCACTACAACAGAGCATGGATTTACAAAAAAGCAATTAATTTTGGTTTTAAAATTAGCTGACAGGGCTCAAACCCCTCAGTTACCTAGATCTTTCGTCAAAATGGCCTTGTAGTACTGCCTTTGCAGAGCTGACATTCCATGGTACAGAACCACTTCCACCTTCTTTGGCAGCTCTGCAGCCACCTCAGACTTGACTCTTCGAAGCAAAAACGGCTGCAGAAGATTGTGCAATTCCTTGGCTATGTAGAGGCAGGGGGAAAAAAAAAAAAAGAGGAGATTACTGCATTAAATGTAAGGAATTTATACAGTACCTTCACAACTATACTTTCAAAATAAATGTATAAGGATCTTTACCTCTATTAGTGAAACGATTCAAGCACAATTTTACAAACAGAGAAACCAAAACATAGCTGCATACCTTAAATACATAAGAGCTACATTAAGGTAGGTAATCATTACTTTTAGTGGATTTGTTTTAAAGCTAGTCAGCATTAAAAAAACAAACAAAGGGGACACAACATGTCTGCTTCCTAGTCAAGATAACAGCTGGTTCTGATTCACGTACAACATTGCTTATTACTGACCTGGCTCACTCTCCTTTTCAATCGCTTGGTAATACTCAACAAACTCTTTCACTTGTTCCCTAGGAAAGATGTCAGGCTCAATAAGGCTGAGTAAGGAGTACAGTTCCTGGAGGCTGTTCTGGATTGGAGTGCCTGTGAGTAGCAGGCTGAAGCCTACTGAGAACTGAAAGAACCAGCAACAAAACAAAACTATTAGGAGAAAATATCTGGAATGAAAAGTTACTTAATATACAACTCCACCCACGCCACTCTTAAGCTTAACTTAAAGATGACAGGTGGCACAGAACTGCCCACAGAATGCTGCAAATGTCTGCCAAAATCATCCAACATAAGGTATGGTGTGACAGTCAAACAGCTCCACCAAACCGACTAGGATGGCACCAATGCAAGGAAGACAGTGTAAGCAAAATAAGAACAAAGTGCAAAACCAACACCATTAAAATTCTCAGATCCATGCACTCTACGGTCCAATACTGCATGCCGAGTGTTACGTAATGAGAGATGACTGGAAAATGCTGTCAGAATAGGACAGTGAAATGAAACTGCAAAAGACTTATGTTCCATTTCTGTTTGCTGTCTAACTGACAAACACAGCAACACTATGTGGTCCAAGTTGCTTACAGTAATCCCTGTAAAGAGACTTGGGGAATATGGTTACCTTTGAAAAAATACAAGTCTTTTCCCAAGTTTGGTAATAGAAAATACACTAGGAAGAGAGCTAAGGTAAATCGCGCCTATTTCTTTGTGACTACAACCAAAGCTCCTGAAATGCAGACATCAGGGACAATATGTTCAGAAGATATGAGACTGCTAAGAACTTAACAAAAAAAACTTAATTTTTCAAGGTACTGTAGTTCATTGTTGCTGATGCCAGCCCAGACCTAATACCCATGTTTCACCGCCATGACAAGAAGTGTATCCTTCACTCAGGCATTCATTGTACTCTGGCAGGGTGCTTTGGAAGCTGGAGCAATTCTATTAATTTCAATAAGAAAGGGTGGCTCCATTAAATGGGACAATGGAAGTCAATAGTTCATGATGTGAGGTCCCATGAAGAAGGCAAGGGTTCCTTCACCCTCCCAGAGCTGGAGATAGCCTCTTGTCGCTTTATATTGTCTTAGGTCAGCCGGACTTCAGTAGCACAGCTGTGGTTCAGCACTATGTCTGGTTGCTTTACATTTTTTGGTCTCTCGAATTGCTCCAACATGTCAAGCCCAAACATGAGTCAGAATGAGAGATAAGCTCTAAATACTGCCCACCTCCATGCAAAGCCAATAAGACAGGCCTTTACCTGTCTGCCACTAAATATGGGAACATGTTCATCAACTCTGATTGAAACTGGTTGTAGCCCAGAGGTTAATAAATACTCAGAGGAACAGAGAATCTGTATGCTATACTGAAGAGAAAAAAGGCTTCAGACACTAAAAGATGGATGAGTTATTTTACCTCAGAAAGCGTCTTGTAAAGCAGAGAACTTATATTTTTCAGTCTGTGAGCTTCATCTACAACCAAGGCAGCCCAGTTAAAGCTGAAAAAACAGCATCTTCAGTTAGAGGCAGACAATTCATTCTTGTCAGTACAAAAAGACTGAAGTAAGTGGTGACTCTGCTTGGCTGAACTTGAGATGGTCCTACCCCATGAACCACAAGCAAACATCATAAGCAGGGTGGGAGGAATTCACAAATACTGGTTTTCGAGGGCCAACGCAGCTTCTTAACTATAGCCTGGATGAGTTTTTCTGAAATCAAAACTAAGTAAATTCACTTGAATTTGTTGCTTCTCTCTCCAACCCCATTTCTATGGGGAAAATGACATAAGCACAAGTTAGTCAAACATTCAAGGAGGTCTACAATTTGGAACAAAAGAGACATGAGACTAGGCCCTTTCACCTGTGGGTTGCAAGGGTTGCAAACCCAACAACTATGATCGGGTAGTGATGGCAGAGTGATTACAAGCCTTTTGCAAATCACCAAGACAGCAGCTTCAGCTTGTTCTGGGCTTGATACAGCTATATGTAGTGTCTCATCAAGTAGGCTGTAGAATCACTGGTGACCTAGCAGATCCACTAGGCTTAATACAAACTCCAGATCTTTTCAATCCTCAGTGTTTGTGCCTGCTTATCACCAGGTTTTCAACTCCCACATCACAGAGCGATTTCCACATAGTCAAGTCTGGCTGATGGGTAGGCAGGGAAGGCAAAGCATGACCCTCCAGCTTTTCTTACCCACACGCTTCTCTTCTGAGTGGGGCTGGAATCCCAGGGACCTACATTCTCCCCAGAGCTCTTCTGTGTCCCTTGATTCCCCTCTTTGCTATTTAAGAGTGGTTCTCCACTGCCAGGACAGTGAAATGTCATTATTCTTATTCTACAGGCTCAGCAGCTGAATCTCTCCACGTTACATTAGAAGAGGACTCTTGCTCAACTCATTTGTGTTATTACACTGCTTGTAAGGAGGGGTGGTGCTGAGACATCTGTTAACTCTGATTCACCTTTACAAAGTGCTCCAAGTGCTCCTACACAGGACAAGGTACAAATTATTAGCAGTTGCTTTTTTCAGAAGGAATAATAAAGGGCAAAAAAACCCCTTGAGTGACATGGCTTTGAGGTTATGTGCCAGCCTGAGAAGTAGGAAATTGCACTGGAGCTGACATTTTTGTGATACTAGGGCTAGTTACTTGCTCTCCCTGGGTACTACATCCCACGGCTAAACTGCAAAATAAGCAGAATCATACGCAGCAGTGCAGCACATGATATGAAACTGTAAGGACAGCATGGCCATGGCTACCTTTCATAAGGCCTGGCTTCTACCATGATGGATTCATTCAGCACAACCTGCTGTTTCCACCAGTGGCCAAGGGCAGGTGCTTTGCAGAAAGACAACAGGGTGCCTATAGTGGGCCTGACTAGTTCCGGGAGATCCAAAATTGTGTCAGTGGGGGCCACTGGGCTTCTGCTCCTACAAAGATCCTGAGCCATTCACAATATTTGGCTGCCCTCAACATTTGTCACAGCACTTACCACTATTGCAAGGCATTGGCACTATTACTAAAAAATATGAAAATTCCTCCCCATTTCAAGTGTAGGCTTCTGTAAAATCCTGTACGGCCATGACAATACTTCCTACAGGCTGAACTTCAGCTGTATAATCAAGTCTTGCTAGAAAGCATAATAGTCCATAAACCCCCCACAGTTCTGACTGGTGGCAGGAGGCAATAAACTTCAGGATATGGTATTAGCACATGATCACCATAGTATAATGCAGGTCAATTTCAGCAAATTTTGTGTCTAATACCTTTATAATCTGAAGCTTTTGAAGATCTCCTCTGTTCTAAATATCAATCTTCTGGACTGATATTTAGTGTACTGCTATAAGCCACTACGTATCATATTATTTTGAGTTAACTGGCTTGAAAACTGTCCTTGGGGGCAGTTCACATACATCTTCGCTGACATTAAAGATTCTTCACTGAGAGTTGGTAAAGGCAAAGCTCTAATCACAAGCAGAGAACATCCTTGGCTCTTGTGAAACAAGCATGGGATCTCACACACATACAAACATACACTTAAGAAATCGCTGACAGACATGCAGAATTAAATTTGAAAAAACTAAAACCAGACTCACAATTTTAGAAATGCTGCGTCTTTCAGACAAATCTGCAATAAAAAAGAAATGAACCGTGATTTATGACTTACGTTAATACACCAGTTAAGAAACAGAACATCTTTTTGTCTACTTGCAAACTATAGTGGAATGAAGGAGAGTGGAATGAAGCCACTTATTACCTGAGGAAAGTAACATGACAGCTATTGTAACCACAAGCTGTAGTGATCCTACATTTTAACTCTTGTCTGGCAAAACACCAGCAGTAGAACCTCAGAGAATTAATGGAAATTTACACCCACCATAAATGCTTTTCACCTCTGAAGTTTTTCATATCTTTCTCACTCAGTAAGAAACACCATGCACCTTCAGCATCACAATTTTTTTCACTCTAACCAAACAGATGCTTCAGTGGATTAGGCTAAGCTATTACAATGACCCTATAGTATCCTAAAGCGTAGACATTGCTTGCCCAACTTCAGATTCAGAGGAAGAGAAATCAGGTCACTCAAGAGAAATCCTTAAAAAGCACAGAATTTTATCATCAAAAGCAACAGAGACAAGAAAAATCCTAGGTAAGTGAGTATCTCGATACAGTTGATCGCTTTCTTGGACTTGCTTCAGTATGAGCACCTCCATTTATCACATTCAGGACAAGGGTTATCACTGCTACCCACTCCTGCTTGTGCAACGTGGAAAAAGATTCACGTTCAGAGTAGCCAGCACAGGTCACACAGCTCCCAGCAGGAAGAGACAGTAAAATACTTGAAGAGAGGGAAAACAAAAGGGCAAAGGGAA